TCGAGATGTGGGCCCAGGGGCCAATTTTTTTGTTGACTTTTTGACTTTTGATTAAGAACTTAGTATGTGCTTATGGAATTGATTCGTTTAGCTTGTGTTGATTATATCGAACTGTTTGTGGCTAGATTCGAGACATTAGAAGCCAATTCGTGAGGCAAAGGCATGTTTGAGTAGAGTTTTGCACAACTTGAGGTACATAACAATTCTAATCCTGGTCTGAGGGTATGAAACCCCAAATTACGTATTATGTGATTGGTGTTCAGGTGATGAGCGTGTGAGCATGCATCATAGGAATTGTGCTTGGTCAAGTCCGTGGAACTGTATAGTTGAATAACCTGTTGTTATCGATATATTTTCCATCTGTTAGAGAAATTTAGCTGCAAGTCATGTTAGAAATCATGCTTAGGTTGTATGTTGGTACTGTTGGGACCCACAGAGGTTGCATTACATGTTGAATTAATTTCTTAATTCGAAATCATGCACTCAGTCACCGTTATTATTTGCATATCATATCTCAATCATTGTTGTCATTTATTCATACATCATATCACCATTGCTTGAGCTTAATATCATGATTCTTGTGAGCCCGAGAGACTGGAGATATTGACGACTGAGTGAGGCCGAGGGCCTGATTGTGAGGATATTTATGGGAGTGGGTTGCACGACGTAGCATGTCTATTTGATCCATGCCATGATTGGCTTATTATAGCGCTTGGGCTAGAATCGCCTCTCTGTAGTCGGCACAACCATAGTGAGCGAAGGTACCTATTGAGTTCAAGTGCGAGTGCCGAGCATGAGTCTCGAGCGACTAGGAGAAATGAGTGTTTGTGAGGATGGAGTGATTGTGAGGTTGGAGGGAATGGGAGGATTGAGTGACTGATACTCTCAGAGTATGCATATGATTCCATTACTGTTTGTACATCAATTGGCATATATAACTATCATGTAGTTACTAAGATGTGTCATATCCTGTTTCAATTGAATTTGACATGATTTAACTATTTTGGCTTTAATTGTCAAACTTGAAAGCATGCCTACTTTCCTGGGTTGTAATTCTATAACTGAATTGTACCTGTGAAGCTCGTCATTACTTTCAGTCCAATAGTTAGTCTTGTTACTTATTGAGTTGGATGTACTCACGCTACACCTTGTACTTCGTGTGCAGATCCGAGTGTTTCTAGACACGGTGGGTGCTGATTATTTGAGCAACTTAGTCGTTCGGAGATTTCGAGGTAGTTGTCCGGTGTCCGCAGACCTTGACTATCCTCCCCTATCTTTTAGCTTTATGTATTTAGTTTTAGTTTCTTTTTCATAGACAATATTTCAGACTTGTTTTGTATAGACGCTCATGTATTTAGTGACACCATGGTTTTGGTAACTTTAATATTGAGTTTTGATCTTCTATCTAGTTTATGAGAGCTTTAATTATTTTAACCTGTCATAGTTCATTTTTCATTTAAAAGTGTTGGAATTGCTTTGAGGAGTCGGCTTGCCTAGTACCATGTTAGGCTCCATCACGACAAGCTAAGTTTTGGGTCGTGACAAGGGTCCTCCTATATAGGACTTCCCCATTAGGGAAAAAGTGTAATTCTCTAGTTTCCTTAATGCTCGCTTCTGACCATTAGTGGCACTCTCTGGATATTCTCTTGCTTCGAGGAACTTTTTGATGTCGTGTGATAATAGATGATAATCATGCAATTTAGCTAATATTTACACTCTAATTTGGCTGCACTTTATCAATGTTTGATTGTAAAAGATAACAAAATGCTCTAATTAAGAGTTTTATGCTTTGTAGGAGCCATTCCAATCTAGGAGGAAGCTAAAAGAGTGTTTTGGAGTTAATATGGAGCATGGAAGGCCAATTGGAGGATAATATGATCGAAAGGAGAAGAAAGTGCAAGGACCAAATCCACGCCCAGGTCCGCAGTCAGGTCCGCGGTTGCGGACAGAAGTTGTGCCAAATCTGTGGTCCATCTGTGGTCCATCTGTGGCCGCCGACGGGGTGCTCGGAGCCAAATATTGCAAGGTCAATTGTGTAATTTCCATAATGACTCTTCTTGACCTATAAGAAGCCCAGCTCACCCAAAAAAGGGATATCGAGGTTTTTGAAGTATTTGTGAAGGCAAAACAGGCAAGAAGCAAGGCGGAAGATTCGACATAGAGTTTTTACCTTTCTTCTTCTTATTTTTGTCATTGAGGATGAATTATATCGTTATGATTGTGAAAACGATGATGCTTAGCTAAACTCCTAATCTAGGGTTTTGATGGACTCTCTTGGAGGATGAATTTCTTGTTATGTTGATATAGATTTGCCATAATATTTTCTCTATTTGTTCAACTATATTGTGATTGTTGTTGATTGAAGGGCCCTCAATCGGCTGTGCCTATTTAGTATGCATTACTCGGGAGAGAGTATATATTTAGGTAGTTGTTGAACAACACCACTCCTAATGTATATGAGGGATCAATACGAATGGTTTAAAGGTGGAATTAGGGATAACGAAACCTTGGGTGCGATCTAAGTAAGCTGTAACTAAGCCCAGCTAGTGTAATTCGGGAGAATATGTCTATTATATTGTTGAAATTACTCGAGAAAGAGTTACGATAGTCAGAGTGCTCATGATCGATAGAGAAAACTTAGGCAAATTTATAGCAAACATAGCGTAAAGGATTCCGACAAGAGGGAAAATCAGAAACTTAGACCATTCTCATTCTTGCTTACAACAAGTTTATAGCTAGTTCTTAATTTCTGCATTTTTGTTACATAATATTTAGTTAATAAATACCAAATTTGTTATTCAAATATCTCTAAAGATTGAATACATAAATTTCTGTGAGTCCAATAGATGTGATCGATAGGTTAATTTCCTGTGAAATTCGACTCCGGACTTGTTAACTAGAATATATTTGCAGCGACCGCTTTGTCCTTTTTATAAGGTATAGTTGGGCGTGATCAAATTTTGGTGTCGTTGCGGAGGAATTAATGGTGTTATTGATTGCAGTTAAAAAGAAGTGCAAAAATTCTTAGTGTAGTCAATTTTCTTCAATTTAAACTGACCATTTAAATTCTAACATTTTTAGTCATGGTTGTTACAGGTGCATGCCTAGAAACTCCTCAAGAACTGGTGAATTGCTCGAAACATTATCAGATCCTGAGAAATTTTTCAAGGCATTGAATCGTGCAAACAAGAAAGACAAAAAACAACAGAACTTAACCGAAAACATTGAACCAGACATGGAGGACGATAATCTAAACAACAGAAACAACGTGAATGACCCAAATGATTAGGGTGGCACCTCTTGTGCCAGAAGGAGCACTATATTATTGGGCACAACCTACCACTGACAACTTAGCAACTGCCATTGTAGTCCCTCAGATACAACCAGATTCATTCCAAATAACAAATAACATGCTACATCTATTGCAGAATAAGAGACTATTCTCTAGGTCATACGTTGAAGATCCTTAGCAGCATCTAAAGAATTTCCTGTCAATTTGTGCTACACAGAGGCAGCACAACATGACACAAGAAGCAATACGTTTGTTGTTGTTTCCATTCTCAGTGACAGGATCAGCTCAGACTTGGCTTAATTCACTCCCCATCAACTCCATCACTACTTGGGAGGAATTAGTCAAGCAATATTTGAGCAAATTTCATCCACACAATAAGACTGCTCAGCAAATTGATGAGATATTGAGCTTCAGACAGAAACCAATTGAGATGCTACACGAAACGTGGGAGAGATTCAAGCTTCTGCTGGTTATGTGTCCACATCATGGTATTCTGGAGCAGATGTTGGGGCAAAGATTTTACATGGGTTTGGCAGATAGTTTGAAAGCCAATGGTGATGTTTCAACAGGTGGGGCATTTTTTAGCAAAACATTCAGAGAGAGAAATATCGTACTTGACAAGATGGCACAAAACTTAGGATGGACAACAAGAAATGCTCCAATCACTCCTGTGGTTCACTCAGTGGTTCTAGACCCGACTAACTCTATAGCTGAAAATATGGCCACTCTAATGACACAAATGAGAATCCTCACCAAAAAGGTTGAAGAATTAGGCCGGAAGTAGCAGGTACACATAGTTGATGCAACTAATGGGGGTCTATGTACATCATGCATTAATCAGCCATATGTTTGCTCGTGGAGTGCTGAAGGTGATAATCAACAATAGTAAGAGAACATGAATTATGTGGCCAACTATGGGGGACCGAGACCAGGTGGTCAGAATTGAGGTCAGCAGAATCAACAATACAGAACAGCTCAGTAGCAGTATAATAACAACAATACTCATGGGTCTATGCGACCACAGGGGAAAATGGTGCCTTACCAAAGGCAACAAGGGTACAACCAGCAAAATCAGCAGTAAGCTTATCAACAACCTCCACAACAATAGATTATGAGACATGAAGATGGGTTTGCTAAACTTGAAGGAATGATGCAATAAGTGATTGGGTCTACTGGAAAACTAGCTGATAGAGTAGACTCACATGAGTCAGCGATAAAGAATATTGAGATCCAGTTATGACAAATTTCCATGGCCCTAAATAATCGTCCTTATGGGATGTTACCTGCAGACACCCAAATCAATCCAAAGGAGTAGGGCCCCAAGCAGTTGATGGTAGTGAGTCTCCGAAATGGTAGAGACTTAGATCTAGAGCAAGAAATTGTTTGCGAAAGTAGGCCAACTGATACACTGGCACCATTACCCATTGAGATAGATGATTTAGCAGGGTTAACTGAGGTGACGGTCCATAATGCGCAAGAAAACACCAAAAACGAAGAAGAGGTTATGAAAGAGATTGAGGTTGCACCGGAATCGACAATAGAAGAAGTGCCTGAACAAGAAAAAAACCAAATCACAGGGAAGAAACGACCTCCAGCACCATTCCCATAGAGATTAGCCAAGTATCATAAAGATGCGCAGTATAAAAAATTTTTGAAGATGTTGAAGAAAATTTAGGTAAACATTCCATTGATTGATGCTTTAAAGGAGATGCATGGTTACGTGAAGATGATGAAGGACTTGATATCCCGCAAGTTTGACTTTCAAGACTTGGCCACGATTAAACTGACTCAGGCCTACAGTGTTGTTATGACGAGACCTATAGCTGAGAAGCTATCTGACCCAGGGAGATTCACAATAGGTAACTTTGCATTTGCTAAGGTACTATGTGATCTGGGAGCAAGCATAAACCTTATACCCCTAGCTATCTACATAAGTCTAGGCATTGGAAGAGCAAGTCCCACGTCTATGCTACTACAGCTGGCTGACCGAATAGGGAAGAGGCCCTTTGGGATTCTAGATGATGTATTGGTCCAGGTTGGGAAGCTTGTGTTCCCAGCAGATTTTGTCATCCTTGAATGTCGGGTTGACAAGGAAATTCCCATAATTTTGGGAAGACCATTCTTGGCCACTGGGATAGCCTTAATTGATTGTGAAACTGGAGAGCTCAAGAGGAGATTAAATGATGAAGAGATAACATTCAACGTGCAGAAATTTATGCGGAGACAAAGTGAATTTTCTAATTGCTCTCTAATAGATGCACTGGATGTGGTCCTGGAGGAGGAAGATGAAGCTTTGAACATTAAATACCCTCTAGCAACTTGTCTCATTAACTTAGACGAAGCTAACGGTGAAGACTTGGAAGAGTGGGTACTTGCTCTTGAAGGCCAAGGTTTTTGGAAAAGGGAGCTTGAATTTGAGGCTTTGTACTTAGAGGAAAGAAAAACTTCTCCAGCTAAGCCATTAATAGAAGAGCCACCAAAGTTGGAACTAAAGCCACTACCATCCCATCTCAGGTATGCATTCTTAGGACCTGACTTAACTTTACTTATTATTATCTCAGCTAGTTAGTTAGATGTGAAAGCACAACAACTTTTTCATGTACTAACTGAATGCAAGACTGCAATTGGATGAACCATTGCAGACATTAAGGGGATCAGCCCGACCTTCTGTATGCATAAGATTCTACTGGAAGATGATGGGCACAAACCTTCTAGAGAACATCAAAGAAGGCTGAACCCCAACATGAAAGAAGTGGTGAAAAAGGAAGTAATTAAATGGTTAGATGCGGTAATCATATTCTCCATCTCTAACAGCAACTAGGTTAGCCCAGTGTAGTGTGTACCAAAAAAGTAAGGTATAACGGTAGTGAAAAATGAAAAGAACGAGTTGATCTCTACACGAACAGTCATAGGTTGGCGGATTTGTATGGATTACAGGAAATTGAACTTTGCCACCAGGAAGGACTATTTCCCACTGCCATTCATTGATCAGATGCTAGATAGATTGGCAGGGAGGTCTCATTTTTGCTTTCTGGATGGGTACTTGGGGTATAATCAGATCTCTATTTCCCCGGAGGATAGGGAGAAAATGTTGTTTTCCTGCCCTTATGGAATCTATACTTTTCGGAAAATGTCGCTTAGCTTATGCAACACACCTACCATATTCCAAAGGTGCATCATGGCCATCTTCACAGATATGGTATAGGAGATAATGGACATTTTCATGGATGACTTCTCAGTGATGGGAAACTCATTTGATGATTGCCTTGTGAACTTGAGAAGAGTTTTGAAAAGGTGTATCAAGACTAATCTGGTACTCAACTGGGAAAAGTGTCATTTCATGGTACATGAAGGTATAGTCTTAGGACACTTAGTGTCAAGTAAAGGTATTAAGGTGGATCGTGCAAAGGTTGATGTGATAGAAAAGGTTGCACCACCCACCTCCATCAAAACAATCAGAAGTTTTCTTGGGCACGCCAGTTTCTATAGGAGATTTATAAAAGATTTTCCAAAATTTCTAACCCCTTGTGCAAATTGCTTGAAAAAGATCACCCTTCTGTATTTTCTAATGACTGTAATGTAGCTTTTGAGGAATTAAAGAAGAGACTGGTAACAGAACCTATCATAGTTGCGCTCGACTGGGAGCAACCATTTGAGCTGATATATGATGCGAGTGACTATGTTGTGGGAGCAGTTCTTGGGCACCAAAAAGATAAGATGATGCATCCAATATACTATGCAAATAGAACGCTGAGTAGAGCCCAATTAAATTACACTATGACCGAGAAGGAGATTTTGGCAGTGGTGTTCGTATTTGACAATTTCAGGTCTTACCTGATAGGTTCAAAGGTAATTATTTATACTGACAATGGTGCTCTTAGGTACTTAATTGAGAAGAAGGAGTCAAAACTGCACATGATTCGATAGGTGCTACTGCTGCAAGAATTTGATTTGGAGATCTGTGACCGAAAGGGAATGAAGAACCAAGTAGTTGACCATTTATCCAGGCTGGAAGGAGCTGAAAAGAAAGTTGAGGTAGAAGAGATTCTGGAAACTTTTCTAGATGAATAACTACTGGCCATGAGTCTCGAGGAAGCGCCATGTTATGCAGACATTTCAAAATACCTGGCAAGCGATATTGTTCCTTATGACCTTTCCTCTATTCAAAAGAAAACGTTCTTTCGTGATTGTAGCATGTATTATTGGGATGAGCCTTATCTATTTAGGATTTGTGTTGATAACATGAACCAGAGATGTATCCCTGAGATAAACCAGTCTTCTATTTTGCAGGCTTGTCACGAGTCACCATATGGTGGGCACTTCGGGGGAGTAAGGATAGCTGCGAAAGTCTTGGAGTTGGGGTTATACTTGCCAACACTATTCAAAGATGCACATCTATAGATAAAAGGCTGTGATGAATGCCAACGAACCGGGAACATTTCCTGCAGCCATGAGATGCTCATAAACCCAATTCAGGAGGTAGAAGTGTTTGATGTATGGGGGATCGAATTCATGGGGCCTTTCGTCAGCTTATATGACACCAAGTACATACTCATCGTTGTGGACTACGTATCCAAATGGGTAGAAGCTGCAGAACTCCCTACAAATGATGCAAAAGGGGTAATTGGTTTTTTGAGAAAGAACATATTCACTCGATTTGGCACCCCAAGGGCAATAATTAGTGATAGAGGCACTCACTTTTTTAATCGAGCTTTTACAAAGTTATTGGAGAAGTATGATATACGCCACAAGGTGTCCACCCCATATCATCTATAAATAAGCGGGCAAGTGGAAGTCTCGAATAGAGAAATAAAAAGTGTGCTAACTAAAACTGTGAATGTAACTAGAACAGATTGGGAAAGGAAGTTAGATGATGCACTTTGGGCGTATTGAACCGCTTTTAAAACTCCAATTGGCATGTCGCCATACAAGTTAGTTTCTGGGAAGGCATGTCATTTACCAGTAGTGTTGGAGCATAGATCTTGGTGAGCATTGAGATAGTTGAATCTTGATAGTGAAGCTGCAGGAACATGTTGAGTAATGGAGTTGCACGAGCCTGATCAGTTTAGATATCATGCTTTTGAGAGCACAAGATTATATAAGGAGAGAATGAAGACGATACATGATAGGAATATTATTGAGCGGAATTTTAAACTTGGAGATACGATATTGCTATACAACTCACATCTGAGGTTGTTTCCGGGCAAATTGAAGTCACGATGGTCAGGGCCTTTCCGGGTGGTTGAAATTCAGCCCATAGGTGCTGTAGAGATTGTTGTGAGTAATGACTCTCTCACGTTTAAAGTCAATGGGCATAGGTTAAAACATTATGTGGGCATAGAGGAAGCAAAGGAAGTGTCAGTGACCCATTTGATCGAGCCTCCACAGTTGAGCGTACTTTAAATACGCTTATTTGTGTCGTGCCGCGACATTAAATCGGGCGCTTCATAGGAGGCAACCCATTGATTTGTTGTATTCGTCGGGGTGACATAAGTATCCCATAGGTAGGCATAAAAAAACTTGGACGCCTAATCTGCGGTCGTAGATCTGACCGCGGATCAACCGCATATTTTAAGAATGTTCTGTCCGCGGTCGCGGATCCGGCCGCGAACCTAGCAAAGTTAGGTATCAAATTTTTAATTTTTTTTATTTTTTTATTTTCTTTCCCACCTCACCCCCTTTTTAATTATTTTTGTTTTCTTTAATTAACCCCCCCCCCCCCCATCCGCATTCCCATGTTTTGTTTTCCCCCCTCCCTTCATATAAACAACACAAAACAAAACAAAAAAACACTCCTCCTTCACCAATTACTAATGCATACCTTCCCCATTCTTCACCAAATTCCCTTCTCTTCTTCCCACTCTCTACTCACCCACTCTTCCATCTTCGTTCATCACAAGGTTCTCAAGTAAGTACATGATTCTACTCTCTTCTTTTAGTTTCTTTTGTTTTGTTCTTTTCAATTTTTTTTCATTCTTTGTATCTTCTATTTTAGGTATAAGCAAGTAGAAATCTAGGTATTCTTATCTATACTGTATTTGTTGGTATAATTGTTGATATGTGAGGACATTAGGATGGTTGGGTTGGAAAAACATTGTTGAGTTGTGAATAATGAGGGTTTAATTGGGTTCTTTGGTACATTGGGGGGCATGTGCACAAGAGGTGTTTGTTGAATTTCCCCAATGAATTTTTTAGTATAAATTATGACCTAGAGGGGCGAGTGAAGTCATAGTAACCGCCCTTGGGTCACCTATTCTGCTGATTCTTGATACTAATGGTTGTAGCGTAAGTACAATAAGATCTTCAAAGAAGATACGCACTACTGGTGGCTCGTCCCGTGCACGAGTATCGTCGAGTTCAAGGCAGTTTGATAGCACTAGGTTTGTCTCCAGAGCTACCCAAGACCATTTTGGCTAGAAGTCTATTAGAAAACCGGTACCAAAACGAAGAGTTGAAAGGGGTTCCCTTCCGGCTGAGTGCCCCAATATGTATAGGGATATAACTAAGCACGAGCTCGACATCTTCTTCGAGGAGCTGGAGGAAGGTAACTTGTTGCTTGTTAGGGAATTTTATGCCAACTGTTCCGAACATGAGGATCATGTTTGTTTTGTGCGACAAAAGAGGGTGAATGCCTCGATTGAAGCTATCAAAAGAGTGTGTCGCTTGCTTGCATTTACTGGGGAGGTGGATTACTATGATACTTATAAGAGAGAACCCACAAATTGGCAATTGTTTTTCCAAACTATCTGTAACCCAGACAAGGAGATAGTGTGGGTTGTTCAGGGATCGAAGTTTCACTCCTCCTCAGTCACCTTTGAAGGTAAGTGTTGGTTGTACATCATCAATAGTTGACTGCTATCGTCCCACAAAACCACTGAAGTTAATGGACCGTGAGCTTCTTTGATCTGGTGCTTCATGAATGGCCACAATTTTGATGTGGCCAAGGTTATTCACTCGGAGATGTTCATCCGTTCAACATTGAGGAGGTATGGGTTCTTCTTCCCATCTCTAGTAACTCAATTGTGTCGGGTTGTAGGGGTATTAGAGAACCCCCATGCAAACGGCAAGGTGAAGAAAGAAACAATGTTCCGGGCTTCCAAGGTGAGTATTAGTAAAGAGACGGTGGCAGCCAGTTCAACTGATAGTGATGATTCTGAGGCATCCGAGGAGGTAGATGATGAGCAGGATGAGGTGGGGGCTGAGTCACCATCCAATGAGCATTTTGCGGAAGCCGAAGGGTCATCCGGGGTTGGTCGGGTTCTTAGAGCAGGAAATGGTGGGGCTGCGTACTACTGTCATAGACTTGGGGAATAGAGTTGATGCCTTGGCCACCTAAAATGCTAAATTAGAGAAGCAAATCATGGGTTGGTTGCATGCGGTGTGGAGGGCGTGTCACTTAGACCCCGACACTGTCTCTGATCAATACTGATCTTTTAAGGAAGTTCCTTTGCCTCGCAGTACTTTCTATTTTATGACATGAGGACTTGACATCTTTTTAAGTGTGGGGTGGGGATTACTTCGTTGGTATGTTGTGTATATATAGGAATGTAGCTTGATTCTCGTTTGATTGTAGTCTTTGGTTAATTTGATTGTAATCGTTGGTTAGTTTGATTTTTGTTTTTTATTAGTAGTCAAAATGTGTTCGACTTGTCCCGACAACGGATATCACTTGATGGGTTTCTTGAGGGTCTAAGTTGATTAAAAAAAATATTTTCTTCTGTAGGTAGTATATCAATTACCCCTTAGTTTTTCTTTTGACCGCGGTTCTTTTCCAAGGGTTGTTTTTGAACCAGGTTAGTTAGTTTTTTTTTAATTAGGTATTTGTAGGCTAAGGGCTGATATGGAAGAGGATCCCTGAACGCTGTCGCGCCCCCTTTTTCCTCGCGGAGTCCGAGTTTCGACATTCATTGGGAATAACTCATTTCCTTTTGGAAATTGGGTATGGAATTTGAAGAATCGCCACCTAACGGATTTAAGGTGCGTTAGGGAATCTAAAGCAAGTAACACATAAAACCGGTTTGCACTACCAGAGATTGGGTAAGGGCTCAAAATAACCTTAGTAGGAAGGTCTTAGGCACCCCTCAAGGTCCACAATGGTGGGTCCCGGCCGAACTCAAATTAGGTGAATTGGTCTTAAGCAAACAAAGTAATTTAGACAAACAGATATTTTGTTTAGAACAAGGGGCAAAGGGGGTCCTAGTTTTT